TCCGACTTAAGTCGGATTGACCTAACCCGGGGACTGTCTGTCTCAGGGGGTATGTCTACACTACCCCGCTAGTTCGAACTAGCGGGGTAGTGTAGACATACCCTTACAGACTACCTAACCAGGAAGAAGAAGTGGATGAGGCTTTTTTTAAACCGCTAACAAAATCATCCAAAGCACAGGAGTTGGTGGTGAGGGGAACTTGAACTATCCCAGTTGTTGGGAAACTCCTACAGCAGGGCACAGATCATCAGACAAGTATTGGAGACAACTTTTTATTTCAGAAAGTGGAGAAAGCTACTGTGGGGAAGCTGTTCTAAATTTGAATTTAACAAATAGGGAGGAACTGGTTGAAAATTTGGAAGTGGAAGGCAGTTTGGGTGAAAGTGATCATTAAATCATAGTGTTCATGATTCTAAGGAATGGTAAGAGATAAGAGGTGGAACACTAAGCTAGGGGGAGAGGTAGATACACTTGAGGGCAGAGATAGGGTCATGGGCGGCAAGTTATATGGGCTCGTGGTGCACATGCTCCAGCAATATTTAGAGCTGGGTCTCTCCCCTGGCTCTGAATATTGCTCCTCCCTCCCGGCCCCAGAGCATCCTCAGAGGAGAAGAGGACTTGTAACGGGGCACCCGCAGCCCCAGTGTGAAAGAGCACAGGGGCTCCACCACTGGTCACACCACTGCAAGCTGTCGCAGCAGGCTGGCCCGACCCCCGTGCCCTTGCGGCGCATGCGCACACTGTGCACCAGACAGAGGTGCCGGGATGCCGAGGCCTCTCCCCTGGGCATACGCTACAGCGAGCAGGTGTGGTGGGCCAGCCCCGCACCTCCACCTGCACCCTTGAGGCGCATGCTCGCACCGGGTATTTTGGGGCACCACCAAAAATTATACAAACCTACCACCCATGGATAGGGTCCAGAGTGACTTAGACAAATTGAAGGATTGGGCCACAAGAAATCTGATGAGGTTCAACAAGGACAAGTGCGGAGTACTGCACTTGGGACGGAAGAATCCCAAGCATTGTTACAGGCTGGGGATCAACCAGATAAGTAGCAGTTCTGCAGAAAAGGACCTGTGGGTTACAGTGGATGAGAAGCTGGATATGAGTCAACAGTGTGCCCTTGTAGCCAAAAAGGCTAATGGCATAATAGGTTGCATTAAGAGGAACATTGCTAGTAGATCCAAAGATGTCATTATTCCCCTTTATTCAGCTCTGGTGAGGCCACATCTGGAGTACTGTGTCCAGTTCTGGGCCCCCCACTACAAAAAGGATGTGGATGCGTTGGAGAGGGTCCAGTGGAGGGCAACCAAAATGATTAGGGGGCTGGACCATATGACCTATGAGGAGATGCTGAGGGAGTTAGGTCTTTTCAGTCTGCATAAGCAAAGAGTGAGGGGGGATTTGATAGCAGCCTTCGACTTCCTGAAGGGAGGTTCCAAAGAGGATGGAGAGAAGCTGTTCTCAGTAGTGACAGATGGCAGAACAAGGAGCAATAGTCTCAAGTTGTGGTGGGAGAGGTCCAGGTTGGATATTAGGAAAAACTATTTCACTAGGAGGGTAGTGAAGCACTAGTATGGGTTACCTAGGGAGGTGGTAGAATCTCCGTCCCTAGAGGTGTTTAAGTCTCGGCTTGACAAAGCCCTGGCTGGGTTGATTTAGTTGGGATTGGTCCTGCCTAAAGCTGGGTCTGGTCTTGATGACCTTCTGAGGTCTTTTCCAGCTCTATGATTCTGTGAGAACAGTAAAATAAAGACAATGGATTTCAGGAAGGCACAATAGCAGACTTAGAGAGCTGGTAGGTAAGATCCCATGGGAAGCAAAACGTGCGTCTACACTGCACCATTATTTCGAGAAAACTAGAGTTATTTCAAAATAACAATGTGAGCATCTACACAGCAATTCCAGTATTTCAAAATAATGGATGGGTTATTCTGACCTCTGTAAACCTCATTCCACGAGGAATAATGCCTATTCTGAAATAGCTGTTTCTGAAGAGGGCATGTGTGGACGCAGCACAGGGAGTTATTTTGAAATAAGGAGCCTTCAGGAAATCCCACAGGTGCCCTGCTGGCCACTCCATCCACACTACTGAGGACTCTACAGTTCTTCTTCCCCTGGAGCTCTTAAAACTTCAGACTCAGGGGACAGGGCTTGAGGCAGGAAGCCGACCCTCAGAGCCTCCAGGCACAGTGCAATTCCTAGTGCCTCACATCTGGCCAGCATGTCCCAACCCTAAGCCCCCCAAGACCTCCTGCCCATTCCAGGGAGCACTCACAGGGCACCCAGAAGCCTGTCAGGCGCTGAAAGAAGCATGTGCCGTCTTGGTCTGGGGCACTGAGCTGGCTGGTGCTGGGGGAGGCTACTGTCTCACCACGCATTTGGGCTGGCCCAGTGTTCAGGGGAGCAGACTGAGTAGGGGGCTATGAGTCAGGGAGCCAGTGGCAGCAGCTTGGCCCAATGTGGCTGGGGCCTGAGATCTGGGGATCCTCTAGTCTGGGGCCCCCATCAGCTTCCACAGCCTCAACGTGGATGGGGAGGTGGGCTAAGGATCCGCCAGTGTGTGTGAGAGAGGGGTTCATAGCATTTCCTTTAATGGGTGGGAGGGGGTTTGGGACTCTGCTGCCTTAGATGGAAGGAGTGAGACTGGCACGTTTGCCTCCCCAAAGCACGGGCTCACCCTCTGCCATGCCTGAGATGAGCCATGAAAAGAGTGAGGGACACAGATAGGCAGAGAAAGGTGTTGAGAGGACCTACGGAGGATCCAGAGGCCCAAGACTCAGAAGAGAGTCTGTATTAAGCACAGTTTACAGGGAAACAGAATAGAGGATTCAGAGGCAGTAAAGGGACCAGCAGCACATCTAAGGGAACAGACAGAGCTGCTTAATTCAAGGGCCCTGGGCTGGATGTCAGAGCAGAATCTGGGGCTGGGTTCCTCTAATAGGCCCAAAGAACAATACAAGGCCCTAAGCAGGAATAACATATCAGGTTGGTCTAGGCAGTGGGGAGAGGATCAAATCAGGGCAAATTGCTCCGAACCAGGGCTACTTACAACCCAAGACTGGGGCCCTTCCCTATAAGGCACCAAACCAATCTCACAGAGCTACTCAGCTGCCACTCTGACTTGCAAGAAGCCTCCCGAGCAAATCCCCTTAGATATCCAAACATTGCCTGTGACACAACCAGCACCACACTTTACACAGGTGAGAGATGATAAAACCCAGGCTCACCAACTCCGAACAGGTTCTCCCATTCCCAAAGGATCAGCCACTGTCCCAGGTCAATTTATACCTCAGATCTTACCCAAAAGACCCCACTGTGATCATCCTTCAGAAACTAAAATCTAAAGGTTTATTAATAAAAGAAAGAAAACGTTGGGACTGAGATGGTGACTGATGTATGTAATGTACAAAGTTCTTGATGCAGGCTCTTAGCAAAGATGTAACAAACTGCTGACTTAAAAGTCTCTGGTGTACATCCTGGCTGTGTCTAGACTGGCAAGTTTTTCTGCAAAAGCAACTGCTTTTGCGGAAAAACTTGGCAGCTGTCTACACTGGCTGCTTGATTCTGCGCAAAAGCACTGACTTTCTACTGTCCGAAATCAGTGCTTCTTGCGCAAATGCTTTGACGTTCCCGTTCGGGCAAAAGCCCTTTTCTGGAAAGGCTTTTGCGCAAAACGGCCAGTGTAGACAGCTGAAAACTGTTTTGCGCAAAAAAGCCCCGATGGCGAAAATGGCGATCGGGGCTTTCTTGCGCAAAACCGCGTCTAGATTGGCACGGATGCTTTTCCGCAAAAAGTGCTTTTGCGCAAAAGCATCCATGCCAATCTAGATGCTCTTTTCCGCAAATGCTTTTAACGGAAAAACTTTTCCATTAAAAGCATTTGCAGAAAATCATTCCAGTCTAGGCGCAGTTTAGACCCTATGTCAGGCTGGCCCAACAAATCCTTCTGGGCCCTCTGTACTTACCAGTGGTGCTTCTGGAGCGGAGGGTAAGAGTGAAGACAAGGTGGAGGCATCCTCATGGTACTTTTAGCTCTTGCCTATGTGGAGGGAAAACCCAGGCTTCTCCTGGGGGCTGGTGCCTCCCAAAAGGGGCTGATCACATGGCCCACAAACCACGTTATGTCATTTTTAAGCAAGTAGCCATGCAGTTCCCAGGTGTGGCTTCTCAGGCAAGAGGCCATTGTGTGCTCCTCAGGTGTCAATTGGCAACCCTGAAGAGTCCATGTAGCACTGAGCTGTCAGTAGAAAACATGTAAAATATAAATATAAAGCCCATATTCAAAACTTTACACACACAAAGGCTATGTCTTCACTGCGAGTTCTTCCTGCAGAAAATATACTAATTATTGATAGAATGGTTGCACAGCCATTATTTCTTCCTGTTATTTGACACTGAGGCTACATGTACACTGCCGGCTTTGCTGGCATTGCCTATGCAAATGAAGCATAGATTAGCATTTTGCTGTGCTTCATTTGCATAATTTATTTGAGCCATTTTTGCGCAAAAAACCCCCATCCACGCTGCTTGTTTTTGCGCAAAAATCCCTTGCGCAAAAAATGGCTCAAATAAATTATGCAAATGAAGCACAATGATATGCTAATCTTCACTTCATTTGCATAGGCTGTTGCTGCAAAAGCCACAGTGCAGACGAAGCCAAATTGTGTAAGTACATGAGGAGCCTAGACAGAGCAAGCATAGCATAAGCTTCCATTAGACAACCCACATGGCCCACTTTGCACCAAATTTTGGGCAAATACACACTAGTGGGTGCAGCAATGATCTGCCCACTCACATGAAAACCCAATACTGTGACAGCAATGGAGGCTGATTACTAAGCCTTCAGAGGACCCCACTCACATGAAAACCCAATAATGTGACAGCAAGAGAGGATGATTACTAAGCCTACAGAGGAGGCTGAGAAACAGCCCAGGCAGGTCTAGAAGGATCTCTTGTATTAGGATGTTTTTGGACTTCTGGTTGTACTTTTAATGCAGGTCTGGACTTAAACTGTGACCTGGCCAGAGGGCAGAGCCATGGGAAGGGGCAAATCACCACAGGACAAGAGTGGCTGCTTTCAGAGGGCCCCAGATGAGGAGAGACCTACTACATCACACCCAGCCCTGAGGAGGCATCCCACTGGCAAGTCTCCCCTTCTTAGCACCGCTTTGACTATACCAGTGTAGATAAAGGGGAATAATCCCCTGCCCCAGTAAGAATGCAGTGTTCCTGGTGTAAATGGGCCTGTAGTTTATCCCCTTCACAACACTTGTGTGAAGGCAATAACATACAATTGTTTTAGAGATCATAACTGAGACAGTGGATTTAAAGGCCTGATGCTGAGCTCTTGTCAAGTCCTTCATTGGGAGTCAAGGGTGCTAAGCACCTCACGGGGCTGTTAGTACTTAGAAACCCAGAATCCTGACCCCTGTCCCATGGCTCTAACCACTGCAAAATGTTCTCTCTTCCCCTCTCCCTTCTCCCCTTCAGCCCAAGTAAAATGTAAGGCAGCGATACTTCTGAATTACTAGCTAATCTGTAGCTGCAAAATCTAACCAAGTCATTATTACAAAAAATGTGACTTTTCCTGTGTTTGAAGCCTTGGCTTCTAATTAATCCCTATCTTCCCTCACACTGAGGAGGAGAAATGATGCATTGGTCACTAAGGAGTAGAGTAAAGAACATTTCCCTGGTCTCTGTATGACAGATTTATTCCGCTTCAATACAGGACCCTTAATCACCTCCATGGATGCTGAGGCAGCCAATTTCTAAACTCTTTTTCAGTTTAAAAATTCAGTATAGTAATAGGAAGAAAAAACAGCTTGGTTATCATTTTTAATCAAGATTTTTAGAGGATTTTTTCTTTCATGGGATTTCCCCCTTTCCCCCAGTGTGGTTCTTAATTCTCTGAATGTCCCCTTACCTCTTAAGGAGACATTCAGATGATGATGATGTAGATGCTGACTGTATATATATTTCTCTATGATTAAACTTATGAATATATTTAGGACCCAGACTTGATATAGTTTAATTATTCCTGTTGAACCAAAATGAACCTCGGACCTTTTGCTGTTTTCAGGTATGATTTATAGTCATCTTCAATGCATAGCAGTAATTCATAATCTGAACTCTTCTGAGTCTTCTAGCTGTGAATTTTGAAATTGTAAAATATATCTTAAAAATGGCTGAAGACAAGCTTGAGAAAACAGCAAGAAAGGGATGTGAGTTTGGCTGTGACACTTCTTTGAACAAATGTGGTCAATAAACCAGACTGGCCAGACTTTCTTGCAAGATTCCCAGTGCTTCTCAATATTTATGAGAATTGATGTGTCTTATCATGGTATTTCTCCCTCCCGTCCCTGCCGAAATGAAGATGTTCAGAAAGATGCAAACTTTTGCTTCCAGTTTTGGGCAAAGGTTCTGATGGGTTTTATGACAGATAAGCTCAAAGTATGAAGTTTAGAACTGGAGTTTGAATCCCACAAAATACTGGGGGGGCAGGGTTGGTTCCTGGGTTTTGGTTTAGCCCACTACACAGCTACGCTGGACATGCAAAATTTGGATTTAGACATTTCCTCAGTTGCAGGAGGATTGGATAGAAGGGATGAAAAAGCCTGATTCTACCCTCAATCTCACGGATATAAACCAAGAATAACTCCGCTAAAGGCAGTGGTATTACAGGCATAAGACCAGTGCAATTGAAGGGAGAATCCAGATGGGTTCTGGCTCAACTTTAATTGTTTCAACTGAATATATTTACCCATCACAATCTTAAAATGTTCTTCACAATAATTTAGAAGGAGTGTGATGTTCATTAAAGAAATCTGAACAGATAAACAATTGATAACCTAAGCTTCAATGGGGAAAAATTGTCTGCCACACTAGGTAAATTTAATTCCAGTTTCTCAATGAATCTTCCTCATGCTGAGGTGGTTTCCATTCATGCTTGTATTAGAGCAATGTGTGGAACAGCATCAAATGTGGTACAATTGTTTCATATTCCACATGTCATTATTCCCCTTTATCGATGTCATTATTCCCCTTTATTCGGCTCTGGTGAGGCCACATCTGGAGTATTGTGTCCAGTTCTGGGCTCCCCCACTACAAAAAGGATGTGGACACATTGGAGAGGGTCCAGCGGAGTGCAACCAAAATGATTAGGGGGCTGGACCATATGACCTATGAGGAGAGGCTGAGGGAGTTGGGTCTGTTTAGTCTGCAGAAGCGAAGAGTGAGGGGGGATTTGATAGCAGCCTTCAACTTCCTTAAGGGAGGTTCCAAAGAGGATGGAGAGAGGCTGTTCTCAGTAGTGACAGATGGCAGAACAAGGAGCAATGGTCTCAAGTTGTGGTGGGAGAGGTCCAGGTCGGATATTAGGAAAAACTATTTTACTAGGAGGGTGGTGAAGCACTGGAATGAGTTACCTAGGGAAGTAGGGGAGTCTCCATCCCTAGAGGTGTTTATGTCTCGGCTTGACAAAGCCCTGGCCGGGGTGATTTAGTTGGGACTGGTCCTGCCTAGAGCAGGGGGCTGGACTTGATGACCTTCTAAGGTCTCTTCCAGTTCTATGGTTCTATGATAAGCCCATGTGTGGGACTTGAAGCCTGGCCTACAGAAGTGGCAGGAACAGGGTTAATGGTGTAAAGCTCTAATTGGTATTAGGCATGGGTTGGAAGCACATTGCAGGGGGGTCATAACAGAACACCTTGTGAAGAAACATCTTGATAGCAACACTGGTTCACAAATAACAGACACACTGACCCAGGTTCTGGTCAGGGTCTAAACTGACAGCATGATAGCTAGTGATTGAACTACCTATGTACAAGGGTGGTATCTTGGTAACATCAGAGAGTAGCAACCTGATATGTCAGGAGTTATGTATAACTTATTTGTACCTAGGTGTAAAAATGTTCTTCAAGGGAGTTAGCTTTGTCCAACCTAGGAGACAGTGGCAAATCCCATCCTACTGACTGAATTGAGTCCATTGTCATGGGCACACATTCTTCACCTATTTGTCGACATCTGATCTGGGGAAGCTAGGACCATGCTTTGCTTGCAATAAAGCTGCCATGTGCCTGCAATTCTTATCTAATTTCATGGCTTTTGCGGGCTCTCTCCAAGTCTGCTGTACCCGGACATTACAACATACAAGGGGGCAAGCAAACAGGCAAAGGGACCTGTCAGCTGAGACTTAAAAACCTCTAAGGATGGAGATTCCACTCCCTCCCTAGGTAACCCATTGCAGTGCTTCACCACCCTCCTAGGGAAATAGCTTTTCCTAACATCCAACCTAGAACCTCCCTCATTTCCTTGAGTTCAAAGGCTATTGGCTTGTAATGAGGTGAAGTGGCCACCCAATGACCTGGAGCGGGAGAAGCTATCCAACCTAGACCTCCCCTATTGCAGCTTGAGACCATTGCTCCTTGTTCTGCCATCTGTCACTACTGAGAACAGCCTCTCTCCAGCCTCTTTGGAACCCCCTGGCAGGTAGTTAAACGTTGCCATCAAATCCCCCCTCACTCCCTTCTGCAGATTACATACAAAAAATTAAAAAATAAATTTTTAAATGTGCAGATTACATACAAAAAATTAAAAATAAAATTTTTAAAGGACAGTCTTTCTAAAAGCGCACCAAAAGACCGAAAATAACGTTTTCAGCTACCAATTTAGGAGAAAGATTGGATGGCTAAGTATGATTCAAGGTAGTTGCAAACAGTTACCCATCCAATCTTTCTCCTAAATTGGTAGCCGAAAACGTTATTTTCGGTCTTTTGGTGCGCTTTTAGAAAGA